TTTCTTTCTTTCTTTCTTTCTTTCTTTCTTTCTTTCTTTCTTTCTTTCTTTCTTTCTCTTTTAAGATTTTATTTATTTATTTGAGAGAGGGAGAGAAAGGGAACAAGAGCAGGAGTGGGGGCAGAGGGAGAAGCAGGATCCCCTGTGAGCAGGGAGCCTGACCCAGAGCTGCATCCCAGGACACCGAGATCATGACCTGAGCTGAAAGCGGACAGTTAACCAACCAAGCCACCCAGGTGCCCCTCCTCTCTGCTTTCTTGAAGTGGGACCTCATATTATCGATTTAAGACGTTTCTTCTTTTCTAATATATGTATTTAGTACACAAATAAATTCAGGATGAAAATAATGATGTGGAAAAAATTTCAAGCTCCTTATTAACTCTTTATAGTTAATTTTCCTAGTAAGTAAAGAGTTACTTCAAACCGATAAGGCTAAACTAGCTACCAAGTAGAGAAATGCGCAAAGCATAGAACAGTTAAAGAAAAGGAAAATACTCAAATTAATTTATAAGTGAACCACAAAAGGCAATTAGCAAAAAAAAAAAAAAAAAACAATTAGCTTGTCAAAGGGGGAAAAAAACCACTAGTAATACAGCATATTGGAAAAGTGGGAAACAGAAACTCAAATATTGCTGGTGGGAGTATAAATTATCACAGCCTTCACAGAGAGCAATTTGGCCACATTCCCTTTGACCCAGAAATTCTGCATCCAAGAATTTATCCTAAAAATAGTCTTGCAAGTGTGAGAAATCACATATATCCAAGGATGTGTACTTGCAACAATTTTCTGCATCCAATGATTACAAACATTCTAAATGTTAAGAATAGAGGATTGAGCACATAAATATGACATGTTCATCCAATGGAATACTATGCAGCTGCTAAAAGCAGTTTTACCTGAGCTAAGATAGATATCTAAGATGTTTGTTAACTGAGGAAAGCAAAGTAGGTGAAAAATATGTATACTATAATTTTTTTTTAAATGTGTATCTATGTATACACAGTCACCCTCTGAAAGGATACACAAGAGACTGGTAACAGTGGCTGGCCAGGAGCAGGGGCTGAATGGAACTGGGAAGCTAGGGGATGGAGTTGGGGGGGAATTTACTTACATATATTTATATATACTCATATACTTGTGTATACCTTTTTTGAAGATTTTATTTATTTACTCATGAGAGACACACAGAGAGAGGCAGATACACAGGCAGAGAGAGTAGCAGGCTCCCTGCAGGAAGCCCAATGTGGGACTTGATCTCAAAACCCCAGGATCATGACCTGAGCCAAAGGCAGATGCTCAACCAGTGAGCCACCCAGGTGTCCCTGTATATACTTTTTAAATATACTTTTATTGTATACTCTTTGGCGTCTTCTGAATTTCATATCATGTGAAGGGATTACCGATTCAAAAAAAGTAAAATAATTTTTTCAATGCTTAGCTTAAGTAAAAACCTCCAGAAAGAAGTAGAGACAGAAAAAAAAAATAAGTCTTTGTTTCCTGTGCACAGATTAGATATCCAGGGGGAGGAGGGACATGAACCAGGACTCAGGAGAATTTTTATTTTGTATGTCCTCAGAAATACACACATATAGAATCCTAGAATTCCAAGGCAAGAGGGTGTTGGAGATTCCCCCAGCCCCATGTTTATTCTGTGACCAAGGGCAGGACAATCTGAGAATAAACATTTGCTAAGAAGAAATCTGTAAACTCTCCCCACGCAGACATTGAGATAGGAACGCCAAGGGATAGCATTTTGGGAGCCAGTGAGCCACCCCACATATTCCCTCCAGTCACTAGTTGGACATGCTTTGCCTACCCCTTATTGCTGGGGGCACATTCCACTGCCCACTGTGCCCGCTGAACCCAGGCCTCGTTCATAGGAACCCGGCGGGTGTCTGGCCTTCTAGTATATGGAGGCGGTACCTCAGGTGCCCAGCACCCTGGGAGTGGTCCCCACGCATCTGTGACTGAGAGCCTCTCTTCTTGCAGCCTGTGGGATATTGGATATCTTTCTTGATCACAGTTCCTACCCAGAGTATCAGGTGTCCTTCCTGGATCTTTTTATCCCTGGATCAGGTGGAGAGTCTCTACCATGGATTCTAAGTCTCCCTTCCCACTTAACCCTGAAGTCCTATGAGCAATGATGATAAAAACATTGGGGGTAGTTATAACCTCCTCATCTTTAAGGTTCTCTGGCTGGCTGGCTTTTTATCTGTCCATCTCTCTTCAAATCACAGCTCTCATTTGATACTCACAGCAACTTCTTAGGGCAGATCTAATCCCCAATTTTCAAATGACAGTACAAGGATTTGTTTTTCAAGTGTTTTCCTGTACATTATCTCATTGTAGACCCCCCCAATGCCCTCATATAGGCAAGGAAAGTTTTATTAACCCAGATATACAAATGGGGAGATTAAAGAAGTAGCTGTGGAATAGTGGGCCTTTGGGATAAGAATCTTTGGGTTTGAATACTGACTCAATGGGTTTATTACACCTGTTTCCTCCAGTGTGAAATGGGAATAATAATATCTGCATCCTTTGTCATCAGACTGGATTGTTGTTAGGATCAAATAACTATGGTTCAAAAGTGTTTCAAGAATTAGCATTCTAAAAAAAAAAAGAATTAGCATTCTAATAATTTCTTGTTTCTCAGTCTGTTCTATCATTTAAAATTGTATTTTGAAAATGTTTTGCAAAGGAGAAGATTATGTAACAAACCTGATGTGCCAATCATTGTCTGCAACAATCATTAGTACAAAGCCAGTCTTGCCTCAACTATACCCTTCCCACCTTTTCTTCTTTTGCTTTACTGACTCGTTTTCAAAATTATGAAGTATTTCCCTAACATCCTTAAAATGGATTATTTGGAGTTGCAAAAGATATTCTTAGGGATTCATAACACACTTGTTATGTTTCAATCTACTGCAGTTATGATCCTTGTTGATGTCCAGTTTGACCAAGGAAACCTTATTCTGGTTGGCTTTTGAGTTCTTTTGGCATGACTCTTCTAGTTTTTGACAATGCGTTTGATCTTTTCGTTTGGTGAGACGTTCTAGCTTTATCTTGTACAATTGCTGTCTCAGACATTTCTCCAAGGAAGCCTGATTCCTTTGAGGGGGATGGTATTTAGAGTTCATAAACTGATTGCCAGAGGTGCTCAATTCTCCTGGGATGATCCTTGTTTCTAGGTCTTAGTGAACAGGGCTCGAGAGAGAGAGTGTGTGTGTGTGTGCATACATGTGTGTGCATGCATGCGTGTGTGTGGAAGATAAAACATGAAATTCATCCTGATACTCCAGTTAACAATCAGGACTACAGACTTTTTACCTGATCTCATCAATTTTACATCTGTATTACCTTTCAGGAAGAAAATCTTTTTTTTTTTTTTTTTTTAGCAACATCAGTATTATTATTCATTTGACTTATTCCACAATACACTACAAAAGTCTCAGAATAATAGTAAGAAGAATATAACAGTACCATTGATAATATGATTATTGAAAACAGTTTAGGGTTGGAGGGGCACCAGGAATGGGGCAGTTCCTTTTATTCTTAAGTATATCCTTCCAAGGATATATATTCAAATTACTATGTTTTAATTTCTCTATAAACTCATTTGCTGTATTTTATTTTAATTTTAGGCATTTCTTTGAAAAATATTAATTGTGCTTTTATAATTATGTCAGATATTTACATGTTCCAAAGCAAATTCACAAAATAAGGTCTATTTAAAACCCAGCTTCTATCCCAGTCCCATCCACTTCATTCCTCTCCCTCTCTGTAGGTCTTTAAAATTTTATTTTTTTAAGATTTATTTATTTATTTGAGAGAGAAAGAGCATGCAGGGTGGAGGGACAGAGGGAAAGGGAGAAAGAATCTCCAGCAGACTCCTTGCTGGGCATGGAGCCTGATACAGGGCTCAATCTTAGGACCCTGAGATCACAACCTGAGCCAAAACCAAGGGTCAGATGCATAACTGACCATAACTGCCACTCAGTAGCTCCTAAATTTTATTTTATGCTTTATCCTTTTATTATATTTTTTAAAAAATAAGCAAATATGTATTTATCTTTGCATTTCTCTCCCTTTCTTAAATAAATGATAGCATATTAAACATACTTTTTTCCTACCATGTTTGTTGTACTTAACAGTAGAGATCACAGTATAGACACATAGTGTATCTTTCAAACATACTCCTAGAACTGGGATTGCAGGTCAAAGAGCAAGTACATGCAGATTTTGACAGATGTTGCCACATTCCCCTTTACAAAGGTGGATTTTACTATTTCCTGCAGACACATTTTAATGTTAAAGCAAACGGTTAAGTGAGCTCTTGTTATCTGCACCAAGAAAGTTAATTGGTTGCCCAGAAGGACTGGCACTGGCCTTGAACCTGCAAATTCTAACTAGTAGCCAAGTGGTCTGACCCACTCTATAGTAACCATTTTACAGATGAAGAAACTCAGACACATGCAGGGAAGCGATACACCCTAAATGACATAACAAACTATAACTTCAAATCCATGTTCCCTGACCCTAAAATTAGTTCTCCTCTCAATATGCTATAGATTTCTTTGTGGGGAACTCTGTAGATGGGGAAGAAAAACATAATAGTTCTCCTAAGTTAAGACAAGTAATGAGGTAATTATGAGTAAATTCCCCCACGGGTATAGGAGAAATTCTCCGAGATAGGGCTTAACTCCTTTAAGTGAACAGGGAATCAGCAATTAGATTATGTCATCAGGGCACTAATAATGATCTTATGGAGGAGAGAGACCGCCAGCATCCAACATGTTTAGGCACCTTGCAGAATCACTCTCATTTCTTGCACGGTGTCTTGAATTCTTTAAAGAAGGTATCATTATGCTAAGCAAAACTTTCCAAAGGGGTGTGGACAGAGATGTAATTTCCCAGTGAATGGACAGGCTGCAGACCACAAAGCCTTTTCTCTTTCTTTCCTAGAGTGACCCCAGGGCTCTTTGTGCTTGCTTTGTGACAGGTTGATTGACTTATGTGCACTTTGGGATACTGGCGTTTCCTTCCCTGCTGCAGGCTGGAAGAGAGCCTCTGGTATCTCAAGAAGGAGGCTGAATGAGGCAGAGACGGTGAGTGGGGCGAGTGGGGGAGTGGGGCTTGGCTGGTGCACATGACTCTGAGCAGGGGGGTGGGGGGAGATTCTTGCCTCTCCTCTTCTCTTTGATGAGCCAAGGTTCTTTGGCTTCCCCAGTTTTGTAAAAGGACATCTCCTTCTCCCTAGAGCAGGCCACAGAACCAGACCTCCAGGCTCTCCTTTGCAAGGAGGCTGGCACTGGGGAGACTTTTGCTTCTTTCCTCCAGCAGATGCAGTCAGTAACATTTGTCTCGTCATTGTCCCAACTGTCCACCTGAATTGAAAAGTGGGGAAACAGCTTTGTGACCCACACCCTCCACCACCCCTCCCTGCCATAGCGTGGCCTCCACAACCTGAGAGCCTCCTGAATGACAGCCTCAGCATATGGGGGGCAGTCTGGAGAACCCCTCCTCTGAGGGGTGCATGGGGGCCCAGCAGATGGACCAGTAAGCAACCCAAGGCCCGCATCCCTAAAGCAGACTCTGTGTGTACGGTCTGCATTGTTCCATTCTCAGCTAGAATTTCCTGCTGCCTGCCTCTCCTGTTTTAGTCTCAGGCTGGAGTGGCAGGGGAGGAAATGTGGGCAATGAAGGCTGCTATTTTAACCGAGGAGTCACTGGTGACAGATCATTAGCTAACGGCCTGGAGGCCTGAACAAAGAGAAGTTTCCTTATTCTTGACTTTGGGCACCTCTGCCTCGTGGCATTCGGTCTTTCTCTCTCCAGCCCCTTTTTCCTGTTCTCCCAGAAGTTGGAGATGGGGCTGTGGGGTGGGGGGTGGTACAGGGAGGGGGTTGAAAGGTGGGAGCAGAGCATGCTGATGACATGTATTCGGGATCTGGACAAAATCCAGCTCTACTTGCTTGGCGACTTTAGGAGTGTTTTTGACTGCTCCTGGCCTGAGTATCCTGGTTTATACGATGGGGATACTAGTGGACATCTGGTAAAGATTTAAGATTAAATGTATAAAGAGTGCTGCACAGTGCCTGACATGGAGCAGGTGTTCAGTGAATGAAAGTTGTTATTATTTATCCTATGAACAGAGCTCAGATACACTTGTCTCATCAAGGTAGTTTCTGTGTGGGCTCTTTTAGGGCTACAGCTTGCTTTTAAAACTGTCAGGTTTCAGGGACCCCTTGGGAAATCCATCTGAATCTCTGAATCATTGTTACTAATATTGAACTGGAACACACTGCCTGACCTTGAGGGTGGGAGGCACCATTCTTTTGTTCTGCTGTTTTTGGAGGACTCTCATCACAAAAGTGGTATGCCAGGCTATTTTCATGGACATGCAAAGATAGTAAAATCACATGGAAACAGACCCCCCGGGTCTGTGACAGAATCAGGGGGTGGTCAGCTTTGTGTTACCTTGCCCCTACTTTTGGCACTTTTTCATGTACCCTCCCTCCTGTCAATCCCTTACCCTCCAAAGCCCCTCACTGCCCTCCCTGGGCACAAATACTATGGGTTGCCTCCCCAGACCCCCGCCTGAGGACCCTTCCCTTCTCAGATGATAGCAGCACCACAGCGCAGCGGCTGACACAGCGGCACATCCGGCTGATGCCAAGCAAACTTGTGCTGGGTCGCACTTCCGAACCCTTCCAATCTAACCAGCAATCCCTAGTAGTGGCTCAGAACTTGATTTTTATAGTGTGTCCATTTCAATGTGTCATTTGACTTTCATGATAATTCTGTGGTGCGAGCAAGGCTTCATTCCACTTGATTGAGGACTAAACCGAGGCTCAAGAAATTATTTCTCCAACATTCACAAAATTTATTGGCAACAGAGCCTGTACTAGTGCTGAGATGCCCTGTTTTTCTTGCCATGACACTGCGCTGCTTCCTCCAGTCTCAGGCACCCACACACCATGAGGGGTCAAAGGGTCAAAGGAATTTCAGACAGACAGAGAAACCTTTAAAAAAAAAAAGAGTGCAGAGAGTACACGTGAGCAGGCACCTATGGCTATTGATGAAACAAGAAGTTCAGGGAGAAGGGAGCTATCGTCCTTGTAATAATCAACATTTTGAATGCTCCCTGTATGCACCAGGAGCTGTGCTCTGGACTTGACGTGACTTTCCCATTTAATCCTCACAACAAACCTATGAAACAGGACCCGTTATTGCTCACAGTCTACTGGTGACCGAGATACGGAAAGATTCCAGCATGTGCCCAAAGCTCCACATCTCAGAAAGGGCCGGTGCTTGAATCTGAATCCCAGCAGTCCAGCCCCAGGACCCGCATGGCTGGGTTTGGGGTGGCCGGTTCCAAGTCTTATTGGAAACTCTGGGTAGCCTTCTCCCAGCCCACCTGCAGCCAGGTTCCAGGTGGGAATCAGATTTCGGAAGCCTCATGGGGCAAGTCATCCGTTTCTGGGTCCTCCTTCCCTCTGACTCCTCTCCTTTTGTTCTGAGGCAGCTGCCATCTGGAGCTGCCCCAGGCATCTGCTCTCTGCACACTCCTCCCTCCCCGCATGAGGCACCTTCCCCACTAATCTGTCACCCTGCCTCCACTCCCCCAGCCCAGCACTTCAGCTCCTGGTCCTCACCAGGCACTCGGAGCAGACACCTGCCCTCTGACACAAGGCAGAGAAACCTCCCAGTTCCCCAGGCCTTCAGTTTCCCAGATGGATCCATTTGGTTCATTGCACTCACGCTCCTAAGCCCTTCTGCCTGTTGCGGAGAAGCCGGGCCTCCTCTCTCCAGAAACATTACAACAGGCCACCTTGGTTGACATGGGCTCAGGACACAGGACTGTGGGTTGTTGGAGAGGGGTGGGGAAGCTTCACTGGGAGCTGTTTTGCATCTCTCCCCCTTCCCCCAAGACTGACTGATGTCCAGGGCCCTTAGGCAGCACCTGTGGTTGGTTAGCCACCTTCTCCTGGGGGCACAGAGATCTGCAGGCTAGGTGTGGGGACATGGTAGCAGCAGTGAAGTCAGTGAAAGCTGTTCCCCTAACAGCTATCTACCTCCTTCCTCCTGAAGTGATGCAGCCTCTTTTCCACCCTTCAGCCCTTTCTGCCACCCTGCTAAACCCACCTTTTTAAGCAGAAGATGGGCTGTTGAGTTTGAGACGGCTAGTCGCCTCTGAGCTATTTCTAACAAGAGGACTGCATCTCCAGCAAAGACAGATGCTGTTCTACTTGCTGATACATGCACTTCTCAGGGCATAAGACACACAGCTTTCCTCTGCACCCCTGGAACCAGTCTTTGGTGTAAGCGCTATAGCTGCCAGCACTTTGCATCAGACTCCCAGACACACGGCTCATCCTTTAACACACGCGGCAGCCCTCCCTGTCTGCACCGTCTCCCCTCCTCCAGGCTCCTGTGTTTTCACACCCGCAGCCTGCAGAAGCCTGCGGAGATGCCAGTTGGATCCAAACTGATGTCTGTCTAGGATGTAAATGGAGGGGGCCAGGGGGAGGGGGGCAGCTGCCACTCCCTCCTGCTGTCTTAGTTCCTTCCCTTAATCCTGTACCCCTTTATCAGTCCGGCAGGAATTTTAAAAATGCTGCTGGGTCTATGCTATCCTCAGAATATCAGCGGCCACAGCAATATGGAGAGCAGGATGGAAGTTACCTCCAAAGAACTGACACAGCTCCCTCTCCAGGGCTGACTCCAGCTAGAGGCAGTTGACATCATAGGTCATGGGGCGTCAGTGGAGGAAGCTGACATGAACAAAGGGTTGGGGTCTCCAACAGTGTGAGGTGCTTGAGTTAAGGAGACCCTGGCAGAACAGGAAAGGGAGGAGCCCAAAGCTGCTTTGGCTGGTCTGGGATCTTGCAGGAACCCCCCTTTCTCTCTGGTCTGAAGTAGACAATGCCTGTGCAAATAACCATAGTTGGTTTTAAGAGGGAATAACAACTCCTTGGCCACAGAGCCCATGTTAGGTTATTTGCACAGGCATTGTGCACCTTGTAGATCTATAAAGTAGACTTGTAGATTCGAAAGCCCAGCTCGTCCAAAGCTATGGAACATTGCAGGATACCAGCTGTAACTTGGGGAATAGGAGAAAGGACCACTGGTTTTTGAATGCCAAGTTTGCGCCAGGCCTTGGGTCAGATGCTGTACATATACTTTAGCACACTAATTAACTTGAAATTAATTGATTTAAAACCAATCATTTAATTAATAATCATTGCAACAGGGGCGCCTGGGTGGCTCAGTCGGTTAAGTGTCTGCCTTCAGCTCAGATCCTGATCCTGAAGTCTTGGAATCAAGCCCTGCATCAGGCTTCCTGCTCGGCAGGGAGCCTGCTTCTCCCTCTGCCTCTGCCCCTGCCCCTACTCATGTTCTCTCTCTCTCTCTCAAATAAATAAAATCTTTTTAAAAATCATCACAACAACCTTTTAATAAGTGTCTTCACCCCACTTTTGGAGACAAGAAAACTGAGGCTCTAAGAGAGAATAAATACATTGTTGAAGACCACACAGCAGGTAAATGGCCAAGGGGGCATTGAAGCCCAGATGTGGGGCTCCAAGTCCATGCCTTTTCCACATGCCAGAGGAATTCTATATCACTTCCCCTTGAAGCCACATCTCTGCATCCATGTCTGATGTGTTTCCCCTGGTCTGTATGGTTTCCTAGCTAGTTCACTGTTCACCTTTATTGATTTTAAGCCCAGCCCTGTTCTGCTTTGAACAAATAAACCCTTGTTCCTGTGAAGGACACAGGAAAGAGGTAGAAGCTACTGCCCTCACTCTCAGGAAGCTCACAGTCCTCTCTCTTTCCTGCACTCCAAGCAAAACTATCATCTTGTCCCTCTTTTTTCTCTACTTAAGCTCATTCTGTGGTTTTCAAATGGCTTCAGGACCTTGGTCTGTTGAAACCAGGCATAGAACCCCACAGAGGACAGAGTAAGCAGCTTAACATGAGTGACATTGTGAGGAGATGGATCCAGATGGTAGGTCCTTCAGTGATCAGTAGCCTGGACTCCAAATGGGGCACCCCACTAAGGGAACCTGGGAGCCCATTGGTCAGTGCCTAGGGTAGGCAGCTG